TATTTCGTGATGTAATAAACGAATTTATGTTGAAGCGTTGTAAAATGTTGTAATGAAGCACCGAAAGGGAAATTGCTATAATAGCAACAAGTAAACGATATAGGAGTATTGCATAGATATTGCCAGAGATAAGGTAGACAACAATGCGTGTGTTAGTACCTATGTAACCGGCAATGTTGCGTTGTTATTAGGGTTTTCAAACAGAAGAGGAGAAAATTTAAATATATGATTGTTTTTTACTTCTAATGGATAAATTCGAATTATTAGATATTCTTTTTTTATTTTTAATATTGTAATGGAAAGCAACTTCATAGTCTCAATTTGAAAATTCTGTATGAAATTATAATAGGCAAAAAGTCTTTGCTGAGTTTTTTGATAATTCTTTTTCAATACAAGGTGATATTAATTTGTTTTTTATTATAAAGTAAGTGATTTCCTGTCTAATATTTCAGAGTTACACTATTTCTAATACGTATGTAAAATCTCACTTTTATCACTGTAAGAGTTGAAAAAAATTATTGGTGGAAAATGACTGAGGGAAATGTTAGTTCAACTTGTTGAACTAATGAAACTTATGTTGAGCAGTTCACTTTTGCATTAATTATTTTAACGGTTGATGGTTGTTGACTACTTGGTCAGGTTTCCAAGTATACCTGAGGTCTGCTTAGAGCAAACGAAAATTCATCACGTGCCATATTAGTAGGAAATTACTGTAATAAGTGCCAGCCCTATGCCAAAGTTTGGGTACAGTCCACGAGGCACCGTAGACACACGTAGCGGTCAGTCTAGGCGCTCATTCTCGTAGCACAACTCGTTTGTACACACGAAAAACTAAATCTACATAACTTAAACATGTATTCAGTGACTTTGAGTGTAAACTATGACCAACAGTTTTGGTTATTGGATCTCGTACAATTGTTGTTTATGTGATCGATTATAAATAGTACTTTCGTAGTTTGTTTGTTGTGTTTTATTGGATAAGTTTTATTTATAGGTAAGTAAAATTATTATTTTTTATTTACTAGGTATATAGTTTTTAGGGTTATCTACCCAAAGGGTAAAACGGGCCCATTTGTTTGTCTGTCCATCTGTAACCAGGTTGTTTCTTATGAACCGTGATAGTTAGTTGAAATTAGCAAAGATGACGTAGTTCTTTTAAGGAAATATAATAAACGTGATTTTTTATCGATATTAATAACAGTGACATATACGCTTGAAATATTCACAGCGATTTCGTTACATATTCGTCTAAAATATAAATAAATAAAATAAAACAACAGACGTATTTTTCCGTTTTCATAGACAATTGTACGGAACCCTTTGTGCGCGATTCTGACTTGCACTTGGCCTGTTTTTAAAATATTTTCCAAACCTATAAAACACCTGTGCATGAAATTGTTTTAGTAGATAAATAAGAGTAATAATTAAGTGCTGGTTTCTTAAGGTGACAAAAGATGTAATTTCTGATGATCTAAATGCTACACATTATGTGACACCATCATGCATGACATAGGGTAAATGGTGGTTGTTATCATTACCACTTATGTAAGATACGACGGTTGACATTTGTTATTTCATTACTATTACATATTATGTTTTTTGTTTTGTTAAATTGATAGGAATGATTAATATATCAATTCCAAGTTATAGCTACGTAATGCATTTTTTAATCTAATATTATTTATTAAGCTTTAACATATGTGATTTTTTATTAATCTATGAAAAAAGTTTTCACCTTATTACATTTTTCAGACTCTTATTAATTCTATTTTCTTAATAAAAATGCCTAAAAATTCACTTTATCAAATCTAATTATTTTATTATATCAAAATTTCAAAAGTAATTTATTCAAACTATTTTAAGAGTTTCAAAGATACACAATTTATTTGTAATTTTACGATTTTAGTCCTAGGCCTGTGGAAGACCGACTGACGGGCGTGAAATTCAGAAAAGGTTTTGGTATCTTAATGAGGTCTTACTACCTTTTTACCAGCATTATTCTTTCTCATATTGTATGGAATAAAGTCCCGAAATATTATTTTAACTCTTATGTACACACAGCAACACGTTAGCACAAACATTATCATCATCAGCCTGTTACATCCCCACTGCAGGGGCTCAGGCATTCCTTATGGATGATTAAAAGAAGTTAGGCATTATTATAAATAAAAAAAGGAACCTACTTCAAATTTAATAAACTGAAAAATCATACTTATCTTAAAAGCGGTTAAGAAACATTGAAGTCGGGCTGTTAATATTTAATTGACTACATAAAACCTCCAGTTGGTTCCGTTTTTTTAAGTTTTTATTTCATGCATTTTAGTGATATTTTGAATTATGGGGTAACAAACATCACACATACTTAATGGAAATTTAAGACTTATATGGTTTTCTCATAGATGCCATTGCCAATTCTGGACCAAATTGGAACCAGACGGCAAGCACTAGCTTTCAAATAAAGAAAGAATTAACAAAATCGGTCCACCCAGTAAAAAGTTATAACGTAACAAACAAGAAAAAATACAGTCGCATTGAGAACCTCCTTCTTTTTTTGAAGTCGGTTAAAGAAGTAACAGAAAATGATTTGAATTAAATAAAAATTAAAAAGATATTACTGAAATTGTTATTGTCTTTTATAAACGCAAATAAGTCCTATCTGCATACGAAGTGATGACGACGCGAAAATATAGATAGATAGTAGTGCTATCTGAGAACGTTAACCTTGACGAAAATTTCTATCTGTATGGATTTGTTGTGTTAATTTCACGCTGCATAAACATGATTAATTTCAATGAAATTCATTAATTATTTCTAAAAACAACAATTCTAAATATTTTCACCCAATTTAATATAACCATTTAATACGGGAACGGAAATGGAGGAGTTATACGATTTCCACATTTAAATAATTCAATGTAATTCTAATTCTAAAATATTTCCCTATGACAATTTGTCTCTAACGTAATAGAATATATCTAATTCCAAAGAGGTTTTAAGTATAAAAGTTTTGAAAGGAGTTCCGTTGATCAGTACCATATTTTGTGATATATAGATTTATATTAACTGTAAAAATAAGGTATACAGTTAAATACACTTTTCTAAATCCAGTTTTGAACGTTTCAAATTTGAGTCATTCAAAATAATTTGTAGAACGTTATACTTTAAAACTCTTAATTTCGTCAGTCACGGTAGATGATCTTGTGGGCCACGGAGATTAACATATGGCCAGTCTCTACAGCCAAGATACTTCGAAACACTATTGTGTTAAATACAAAATTATGCAATCACCTACTCTATATTATATACTAGCTGTTTTCCCGCGACTTCGCGCCCGTATGATGTAGCTTCCCATATGTGAAAGATTTTTTAGAATCAGTCGAGAAGTTTCGGAGCCTTTTCAATGCAAATCAACAATCGATTAAATCATTCTTTATAATATTAGTGTAGGTAACTGGAAGAATTCTTGAAAATAAAAAAATATTATATTTGATCTATTAGCCTTCACAATGCTATGCTGAAGAATATTCTTAATGTAGAAATACATAACTTTACTTTAATTCAAATAAAAGAAAAATATTACACGGTTTTCATGTAGATTTTGATTATTAAAAAATTAAATTTTAAAAGATAAAATTCATTTGATTAATTCATAGTTTGTAAAGACTGATCAGCTATGGACATGAAGGTTAACTGGTACATGCTCCGTTAGTTCGAATATATGGAAAGAATGCAATGGACGCAAGAATGACCAAGAGCTAAAACTCACGTGCCACTATCAACATCTGTAGTGCTATTCTATTATAAATTTTTCAGTCAAATAAAACCTACTTCAAAAGATTATAAAGGTTTTATTACATTGAACGTCTTTGCTGTCACGCGCCGTGTTCAAAGTTAAATTCGAAGTTGTTTTTAACAGAATAACACATCAGTAATGAAAGTAAAGGATTGAAATAGTAAAGATTGGTTAGATTGGTTCTGTTCTGGCTTGAAGATATTAGTCGACCATGGACTGAGTATATCGTAGTTTTCAAAATAAACTTACCTTAATCCAAAATAAACCATATGAACCATTTTTTACTTTCTTAAAATAAAGGTTGTCCGAAAATATAACTATGAGGTTTGATTCTCAGTCGGGTCAATATAGAAAATTGACTTTTCTATAACGTTTTGTTTCATAAATCCGTAATCCAAGTGCTTTAATTATTAATATCATTACAATTTAATTAAATGGGAAACTAATTAGAACGCTATCGCCATTTATTTCTCAGCCAAACTATACATTATCAAGACATTTAAGATCCTATCACTATTACGTTATGGGGTAATAAAGATAGGTAGATTTAACCTAACTCAATACATCCGCCGTCATTTACATTTTATAGCATCTACAGCAACGGACAATGAACTCATTGTGTTTTCACCATAAATTTTGTTTCATAATAAATAAAGATGCGTTCTATTTAAAAACAACCAAGTTATATGTTGAGTTGTATAGTTTAACATTGAAGCTTTATGAATAACTAGCTTTTGCCCGCGACTTCGTCCGGGGGGTTAAAGTTACTTTGAGCAGCTTTCTAACGAATATTTATTAATTATTGCGTGTTAAATAACCGAAATAAACTTCCATCCCTTATTTTATCCACTTAGGGGTGGAATTATCAAAATCCTTTCTTAGGGGATGCCTACGTGATAGTAGCTTTATGCATGCAAAGTCTCAGCCCAATCGGTTTAAAATTGACAAAATTTTATTTTATCCCCTTGGGGATAGAATTGATCAAAATCCTTTCTTAGCGGACTATGACGTAGGCGTCCGCTAAGAAAGGATTTTGATCAATTCAACATCTACCTGCATGCCAAATTTCAGCCCGATCCGTCCAGTGATTTGAGCTGTGCGTTGATAGATCACTATGTCAGTCAGTCACCTTTCAGTTATATATATTTAGATAGATAGAAGATAGATATGTAGGACATTAATGTTATAATTTTTATTTTTGTTTCAGACTAGAAGAACTTAAGGTTGGCGAGAACGAGCTTCGTTCTTTGGACTGCGTTTTAAAATTGCCCCGCTTGCGAATCCTTGAAGCGGCAAATAATTTAATCACACACTTTGGAGTAAGTATCTTGGCAATATCATGGTATAATATGTAAAGGAATCTATTAACTATTAGTTGTTTTCGCGCATCTTTGCCCGAAATATTAGTCTATGTCATCCAATCCAGTTATCATGTTTTCTGTTTTAAATTGATGCAAACAAGCAATCAAATCTTTGTATTTATATTAGTAGTGTAGAAATGTCTTTTTAATAAAATTAAAGATATATATTTAAGTCTGTGAGGAGGGCGATGGCACCTTTAGCTCGTTATTCCCAGCTGTATCTGCAATTGCTAACATCCTCCAATTCTTCCTATCCGTTCCGTCCGACAACCAGTTCTTCCTATTGACTCCTACCATGGAAGGCCCACAAGTGAAAACATTAATATGCTGACGATGATAGTGGTAGTGGAGAAACTCGCGGCTATATAAGTATTTCTAGTATACTGCTATATTTAGTATTTGTTGCATGTAGTTCACATACTCTAGTGCTATGCCGTCTTCTATAGCAGAAGCCTTATCCGTTGATATACTCTATCTCTACAGTATGTCAATTAAATTAGTATTGGTTATTATACACACAAACAAAGGCGTAATTTATTTTTAGACTTTTTAATACAGAGATATCTGTCACTCAATAGTTTTGAAACGGTAAATTGTATTTGCATAAAATTTTGTAATTTTGTACTCAAAATATACTTTGATTATTCTGGACTATGATAACACTGCGAAAAATAATAAATCATGTCCGTTTAATTATAGTAAAGGGATTATGATTGCCTTTAAAATGAAATGCTTTATTTTAAAATTGTTAATTACAAAACTGGAATTCACTTACATAAGAACTAAGAAGAGGTCAATGAAATGTCAAAACTCTCTGTATATCCTTATGATGTTGGTATAAAGTTGCAGTGCTTTAATTTTAAATAAAGACATTGAAGTTTTAGGGTTCCACACTCGGCTGTATTTCTGCGTGTCTACCTAAATACGTAATATATAGATACTAAACTTATCCAATTGTGTCAGTTTTTTTCCGAAACAACTGGATAGGTTTAGTATACATATATAGTTTTAAAAATTTGCGTGAGACCGACTTATTCTTAACCGTATTTTGGTTATATAATAACCCGTGAAAATAAATAAAAAACAAAGAATTACGATATATTTACCTAACTTCTATGATATTATGACTGTCTTCGTCGACTAGTAAATAATACATTTAGGTATCAAACAAAAAAGTGATTGTGATAGTTATAAAATTCTGCAATTAATTTGACTGTTTGACATATACGTTTAATTTTAATTTGTTATAATTCCAGAAAAACAACACACAAATGCCTCCGAACGAGGAGAATAAGTCCGATTATCGGGCACCCTTGACCAACGTTGACCTCAGGCATAATAGGCTGAAGGGAAGCATTATACTGGGTAACTATGAGGTGCGGACTTTTTGTACTTTTCTTAATTAAAAAAATACTAAATAACAATTATCATACAATTACATTTGTAGAAAGAAAAACACATCTATCATCAGACATCATCTATCGGACTATCAATAGCAAAGAAAACCTATGATTTTTTTTACAATGATTCAATCGGAAATTGGAAATGAGATATCAAAGATTACTATACTATAATACCGATTGACTGATTAAAAAGTAATATTTACCCATCGAGACTATTTTGAAATTATAATTATAGGTTCCGTAATACAAGGAACCCGGCACATATTGAACTGACCGATACCACAGCCCACTCGTCCAGAGAAATTCTCAACTTCTTAGATGTTAGAGACACGTAAAAAAGCTTAATGTATATGAACAAAAATTTGGAATGCAATTATCGGTCTTATTAACGTAACCTAATATTAAAATATGAATTGTTGCTTTTATAGTTAATTTTATTTTTCCGAACGGGAATTGAACTCTATTGTACTCGACGATTTTGACATACAAACAGAAATTTTAAAGTTAGAATACATAATGCATGGAACGTCTTTTATTTGAAAAAAATGTGAACGTCAATTAAATTATTTAAAACTTTACATTAGGTCGTCGATTGCTCATTCCAGCACCTGGTAACATTGGATGTGTCCCACAACTCCGTGGAAGTGTTAGTGGTGTCTGCACTGCGAGGACTGCGCGAGCTCTACGCGGCACATAACACATTACAGCATCTAGCTCTGCATGGTGCTTCATTACGGATCTTAAGAGCACCTCATAATCGTAAGTATCTTGGAATATATCTTCTTCTTTACTTAAACGACTTTCACAAGTACTTGTACCCGGCACAGCCTAGACTGAATAAATATTTTTGATTTGATTTGATTAAATAGCTTAAATAGCGTCAATGATGTTTCGAATGTCAATTTTAAGAGTACAGAGCCTGGAAACTTCTCACAACAATAAACAAAATGGACGTAGAAAATAGATTTTCAACGTTTCAAATTGTTCGAAAATGACTGTCTATATTTTTATAAAATATATAAATTTTATCTTGCTTTCTATCAAACTAAAGAAAATAAAACAAAAATAACAAATTGTCCATTATTAGTTTCGACGGCGACTTTGCCAGCCTCTTTAAATATATGTTCTTGTATTATTTTGTTAATTTGAATTTGTCTTTTTTATTGTTTTATTATTGTTGTTGCTAGTGTGTTTTGCTATTGTGCGGCAAAGTGATTTAAAATATCTTATTGTACCTTGCTAATATCTCTTTACTTTAATAAAACTACAGTTCACGCTCCTCTGACCATAACACTTAGTTAATTATATAATAAATTCATGATTTGTTTTCTTTTTATTGCAGAACTAGAGAGCTTGACTACTACGGTCCCACCGATAAATCTAGTTGAAATAGACGTATCTTATAACAAATTAACATCGTTACCACATTGGCTCAGCGGTTGTTCGGACCTTACAACTATTCGTGCAAGCAAAAATCAATTAACTTCACTTCCTGAACATTTATTCTGTAGTGAGCTTTCCAGTCTGTGCAAACTTCATCTAGCTCATAATAAAATTTCAAATATCCCTTCAATGCCAAGACTAAGAGCACCATTGAAAGAATTACTGCTCCATGACAATTGTATACAATCTCTACCAGAAAATTTCTTTTCAGTCTGCGACAGATTGTATGAGCTGAATCTTTCAAATAACAGATTAAATCGTTTACCTCCCGCTCGCGGTCCATCATCGTATTCCTTAGAACGATTATATTTATCTGCAAACTGCTTAACCGATGATGTCTCAAGCGTCATTATTGCCTTCCGAGGACTGAAAATTCTTCATATAGCATATAATTGCCTTACAAATTTACCCGACGGATGCATAAATTTTTGGCCTGATATAGAAGAGCTAGTTTTATCAGGAAATTCTTTTACGAGACTACCTGAAAGTTTACCTCAACTAAATCATATAAGAATAGTAAGAGCACACTCTAACAGATTAGTTTCTGTTCCAATGTTTGCTTGCAGTGCATCAGTTAAAATTTTAGACTTTGCACACAATGAACTTGATAGTATTGATCTAAGACTTCTTGCCCCGAAGCAGCTTAAATTTCTAGACATATCTTGCAATAAAAAATTACAAGTAGATCCCTCGCAGTTCAACGCATACAGATGCCAACGTCCTCTAAGTTTGGTCGATGTAAGTGGAAGAAATTCATTATCTTGGGTACAGAAAAGTGGTTACCATGAAGAGTTAAATGGTCACACTCCATGGGCTACGGGATTTTCAGAATGTCCGAATAAATTATTACAGCTTTGTTGTGCTCAAATCCGTCTACAATCTTTTTGCAACAAAGAAGGTTTCTTTGCTATAATCGATGGTGAAACTGATATGGAAGTGCCAAAAATTTTACAATCTAGTTTACCTGGATTGTTACTTGAAGAAAAATCAATAAAAGAAACCGTCAATGAATACATGAAATATGTTGTACTATCAGCACACAGGGAACTGAAAGAAAAGGGACAAAAAAAGGGGGCTTGCTTGATAATGTGTCACCTTACTCCTATGAATTCACCAGAAAATGGATTTGGGCAAGTATCGAAAAAGTATTATATGAGGCTCGCAAATGTTGGAGACACGAAAGCAGTGCTAAGTAGACGAAACGGTCCTTTAAGTTTAGGAACTGAAAATAATAAGCGATTAGGTTACTCTACACGATACCCCAACACAGTTCCCGATCCTGATGTCATACAAACAGTTATAAAGGAGGATGATGAGTTTCTTATAATGGGTAACGGTAAATTCTGGAAAGCTATTAGCATAGACATGGCTGTATCTGAAGTTCGAGCTGAACGCAATCCAGTTCTTGCAGCGAAAAGATTGCAAGATTTAGCACAAAGTTATGGAGTAGAGGATTGTATATCAGTTATGATCATAAGATTCGATACTGTGAGATCTGATGTTGATATGTTAATGAGGGAATTGAGACAGACTATAAGCAGTAATAAATCTATGTGTAGGGCAGATTGTTGCTGTTCACGAATGGAACCCTGTTGTCACTCCGCTACACCGCCCAAACCTAGTAGCGATCGCTCATCACCAAGTGGGCAAAGTGATCGACCACCAAGTGAAGCTGTTAGTCATCAACACTATGCTAGTGTGAGGTCACAGCACAGACCATCAGAACGAAGAAGCTGCAGAGGGGGAGTCGCACGAGCAATTCGTGTCCGGGTCGATGAAGATAAAGAAGATGACTCTAAAATCGATGAACTTCCAGACTCTGAAGAACAATTCAAATGCTGGGAATATATGTTGGAACAGAACACGCAAATGTTATTCGATAAAGAACTAGATAATTTGTCTAAAGGTATCAAATCAAACGTTAGTAGCTTGAGAAACGTTAAAGGATTGTCCGGTAGCAGTCCTCAGTTACATATAACTGGAAAACAAAGTAAAGGTGTTCCTTTTTTATCCAAACATTTCGGTAGTGCAAGATCATTTGGGACAGCTTTAAAGCCCGATATAAGATTTGCGTCGGGGAGAGTTCCAAACGGAGGACCGAATGCAGCCTATTTTGGTTCATTGCAACGTTTAATGCCTTACCATTTAGAGTATGATTTTGCTGTGATACAAGAGAAAAACACACAATCTGAGGATTCGTTAGACCTTGAAGGTCGCATGCAACACTATTGGGGTGTTGCCACTACAGAACTGTAAATAAACGATATATTTAAGTATGTATTATATATGAGCTATTAAAATAAAACTTCCAAATAAATTAGCGTATTTATATACCGTTCATCTGTCGACTAGAATTTTTGCACAAAGTTTTTATCACTATTATGGACTTAGGGAAACTAGATTTACTTATTAAATATCACATTAACAAATAAATATAATATTGAAATACTGAAAATAATATCCGTTAAAATCATATAACAGTAAGAAGTGTCAGTAAAATCATTATGTTAATAATTGTTTATAAAGAATTTATCTTATTAACGCTTTTCATACACGATACTTATTTCACTATAATTTATTTACAGATAACCTTGATACTTATAAGGCGTTTAAATATGTCAATTTGTGCTTCAAATCACACATAATATCTTATATACAACGTAGTGCTTTATCATACTAAAATTAGTGGAAACCCTTAATATTTACTTATATACAAACTTCAACAACTCTAATTAAATGTAGTTGTAAGTAAATGAAGTAAATTTACTGTCATTTGTTTAACAAAACTTTCTATATGCTTTAAAAAGATGTATTTTTATCTACTGGAGTATGATGTAGGTACATTTAAAATTCACTATATCATAATCCATACTCATAACATTTTTATACATACATATTGTAATAAGTATGATTTATTTTAGACTATTTTAAAACAGGAGAGTTTAACAAATAAAGATGTTCAATATAATAAGGAACAAACCAAAACATTAATTCTAATTGCAGTTCAAAAACAAATACTTTCTCATCTTAATACTGTAATAACATGTATGCAGATTTTAGTTTCTTCTTGCACATCTTTAATTTATGTAACATCTATAGATAGGTATTATACCAATTATAGATATTTTACTTTATTTCAATGAGGACATCCAAGTAATTTTCCAACTCGTTATCTAAGTATCACCAGAAATACTGGCAGGTGTACATTGTTGTATAATATTCTTAAAGTTATTTACAATTTGAAAAATCTAGTAATTCTGTCCACGATGACAGGGCAGCCCTATTTGACGTCTTATGATGATATGGCTTCAACATACGAAAACATTAAATTTAATAGCAAAAAGTAAGACAATTTCGTATTTATTATCTCATAGTTCCTCTGAGAACAGTTATAATATTCAATTCATTATGATGTTTTCTAGCAGCTGACACAAATAACAAAACTTATTTGTTAGTTTAGAACACCTAAATATTCTGAAGTCTACATTAAGTATCTTATGTTGAATTAATTTACAATGTCTGGGAGCCATGTCACAGTTCGCGTTTAACAACTAGTTCTAGTGGCTGGGGTGCTAGTGCCAGCGGGAAGGGCGTCGGATGCGGCGTGGGCGCAGGAGGCGCATGCGCCGGCGGTGGCCGCCGCTAGGGGAAGCCCCGCGGTGAGTAATGGTGCTCGCCGAGCCAGGAATCTGGTGATGGTGGGAAGTCGGGGTAACCACCCGCCGCTGGTGATGATGAACTGCTTAAATCAGATGCACCGCCGGCACCAGCTCCGCCAATTCCAGTGCCGCTCATAGCGTTACCTAAAAATATATCAATATATTTTTAACAGACTTCAGTAAAGAGGTTATCAATTCGACTGAATGTGTTTTTTAATATACGCAAATATTTTTATTCAAAGTATTATTACAATATGTCAAATTACCGCAATCGATTTTCAACACTAAAGCATTAAAGGTTCAAATCAAGTCGTTTAATTTTATAGATTTTTACAACTTGTCTTGTTGTTGACTGTATACACGGCTACACGTCAGGCTACCACAATATGTCAAATTTCCTCAATTGATTTTGAACTTTATCTACAAATTTCAAGGTTTAAAACGAAGTGGCGAAATTTGACTGTTTTGTATAAGCTCACGTGTTAACTGATGTACCAGCAAAAAAAAACCTAAGGTTTTTCTTGCATCTTGTTGTAGTTTTGTTTTTTACTATAAGTTTAATAAATGAAACGATAACTTCTAGTCTGATAATTACATGTTTAAAGTCTAAAGTCATTATTAATTGCGTACCTTTATTATCTAATAACATCCACTAAATCGAGTTAAAAAGGTTATAAAATATAGAAGTAGCGCGAAGTACGTGTTAACAAAAATGATAAGCAATGCTTACCTATATTTGTGTACACTAGGTGGTCAGGTGGGTAGTGGTAATGAGGATGAGGTGGCGAGTGAGTCCTCAGGTAGGGAGGAGTAGCGGCGTACCGCGCTCCCCCCGCCGACCCGCCGCCTCCGCCCCCCGCAGGCGAGCCTTCTTCGCCGCCCAAAGCGACTGTACTGTAGCTGTCGTTGCTCAGCTCTGCATCCAGAAAGTCGTCTAACATTTTATTTTCAAACAATATCTGTTTTGTTATGAACTATTCTGTTATTCCTTTCTCAAACTAGTGATTCGATATTTGTCTTTATGTTACCGGTAATCTGTATAATGCGGTATTTTATACAATACCTAAGACGCATATGTAATAAATGAAAGATAAGTCAAGTGATTTAACTAGTCTGATAAAATATCGTCGAAACTGTGACCTACATGCATAAAGCGTTGAGTTTAGGTTGGTTATTATTATAAAATAATGAAAATAAATCAAAAAACTCGCCTGCGTGAACAATAACTAACTGAAAAGTGTAGAACAAAATAAAAAAATTATCATACATAACAGGAGGCATGCAAAAAGTGAGAATGATTTGATTTATTATTCAATGTTCAACCCTTTCTTTGCAGTCGCAAAAAAAACTTTCTAAATCCTCATATAAAAATTATAATTACTACTAAATAATTGTACTGCAAAAGATGCTTTTTAAGACAATTATTATTTTAATTGAGTAATATGGTGGATTCTAGCAAAAGTTACGTTGATTTTGGTTTGTATTTATCCATATTAGTTTACACATTACTAGAGGCCCAGGAGCTGTTCTTTAAATTCCTAGGAATTGTATACCCAAGTAGATTAAGTAGCGGAAAATAATTATCATAATATCTCATTGATATATTTCATTATTCTGAACGTACGTGGGCATATTAATATAAAATACCTGAATCATATAGATGACCGGTGACATAAGTGAACATTTGAATTAATATTTCAAAATAATTTGTCTTGTATTGGATAATACGAGTACAATAAGGATTATTTGTCATGAGAGCATGATACAACCAAACCAAAGACAACTCCTGATATCTTAGTGTGCTATTTTATATCAACGTAGAGATTAGAGAACACGAAGCTCGATTTTGTTAATACGTATTAAGTAACAAAACCGTTTATATCATTACAATGTATATTAGATGTAAAATCGGCTAAAAAAGAACTATGCAACGATCAAAAGTCGTGCTTTTGTTTTTACAGAATTATTTTAATATGCTATGGTTAACTATTGGTTTTCCCTCTATAATAACTATGTCATTAGAATTGAACTTTAAAAAAGGGCAATTTTGTAAAACTCCGGCCTCGCGTATTTTTTAGCAAAACAAATTGAGTGTTTTGCCAACGCAAATATCAGTATTGTATAACGTTACGTTTTGAACTTTTAACGTAAGTATTATTAATAACGTATCGATTTACAGATTTGGTTTGTTTGCGTTTTTATGAATATCCAAAATCATCCATATATTTTTTTTTTTGATTAATGACATTTTTTATGTATGGACTTGGTTTATTTTTAATCCTTAAAAACTTTTTAACCTAAAATATATCAATATTCTTTTATTCAGACTAACAAATACTTTCAATCCTATTATATTACTTTTCTATAATCATCTTAAAAATGTACTTAATATCTTATTCTTTTTAGGTTATGCAAACGAATGTATAATACTAACAATTATGTAATTGGCAACATATTTAGGTATATAAACATCATCACTCGTTTGATTGACTATATAAATTGATAATAACAATGATAGATAATGTCATTAAAGTATTAGATATTTCCATATTATAATAAGTTCCAATAAATAGATATGATTAAATCTTTACTTCAGAGAAAATTTTATAAGATAAGATGAAACGACGTGACTAATAAAAAAACACATAATATAGCTGTTACGATTATCATTGATCAATACATTTATCATGAAGTTGAATATCTGTGACATCAAATCAAGACATTAAGTTGCACATACGTCCATTAAAATTATTGTTAGTATAAAACAATTAGGCCGTTTCGGTTATTTTTAGAGTTCCGTACGAAAATTGGAAAACCTCGTAGGATTACCAGTATTTCTGTCTGTCTGTCAATCATAGACAATTCTTTGGGAAATTATTGGACTGATTTAATTGACTTTTTTTCAGGTACATATCTATGTAACGCGACAGACCAAAGACATGGCATTTTATAACGTTGATAAATTATTTAAAACACTGTTCCTCAACATTATATTTTTTTGTTATATGAAATTTATTTCAATAAATCGTTACATGCAATTATAAAGAAATTATGTAACTAATATTATTGAAAATAAAATTTTATTTCCTTTTAATCACCTGGGTGTTCAAATTATGAATGCAAAAAATAAATTATTATCATTACTCTTTCAATGGACGCTGAAGTTTATAAAAAAAACTGTTTCATTTCATTATTTATTTGTATACATTGAATAAACTCCGAAACTCTAGACCGATTTTAAAAATTCTTTTATAGGGAAGCTACATCGTACGCGGGTGACATAGGCTATAATTTACGCGGGCGAATTTGCAGGGAAACAGCTCGTTTTATAATAAGTATTACTTATTGAATTCTTACCGTGATGACTGAAAGAGTCGAGGTCGATCTTGAGCTCGTCTTTGTCGAGGAGTCGGTCGTGTCGTGGGGAACCACCGCCGCTCTTCATTGATCTGAAATACTGCGACCAGCGAGTGCGGCCGGCGTCTTTCTTCAGTCGCTTTTCTTTCGCTCGTCTAAGTAGACAGTAAAAGTGTTTCATTCAAGATTTCAATTTAACATAAACCAACCTCAAAAAAAAGTGTTTGTAGATTTTAAACATTATAACTCATATTCGGAAAGGTGGTTTATATATTCCAGATCCTATTGTCAAGCGTTTGGTGACATTATTAATTCAACGCCCGATTTAAAAAAATTACTTGAATGTTAACGGTTAATGTAAAAATGTTAACGGCGTTTAAAAAAAAGTATTTATCATATTCAATATCATAAAAAGATTAAAAAATAAGTAACCTCTTTTATGTATAGATCACTGAGAAAATAAAAGATATTTGTATTTTGCATTCCAATGATTTGGAAATTCTGAGAGCATAAAAAGCAACTCCAATAATAAAAAAAAAATAACAAAATAATAGAACCGACTTTAAACTTTTATAAAATGAGAATTAGATTTATTTTCGGTTTACGTAAGTACGATCATATTTCCCAGTTCCGATCGCAACTCAAGTGGCTTCCAATTCGTCACCGCAGGAACGCTCATGTTCTTTCTACTCTCTATAACATCCTATACAATCCCTCTGCTCCTTCTTATCTCCGTAACCTCTTCCACTTCTCCCGGGCCCAGGACAAACCTTGTCGTTCGAACGTAAGGACGTCACTGGCCATCCCCACCCATCACTCTGATTTCTTTTCCTATTCCTTCACTGTCCATGCCGCAAGATTATGGAACGCTCTCCCCTACGAAGTATGTGATTGTCCATCATTACCTGTATTTAAAAAGCGAGTCAAAGAGCACTATTTATCACTAGTTGTCTAGTATATATAATATTTTTAGTTATATATGTTATATATGTATTTATGCTTATATTATGTATATATATTATTTATTATGCTTATTTATGTAAGTATATAATATGTAAGTATACATTTATGTTCATGTTAAGTATGTAATTATGGTCAAAAGTTGTATCTATTGTAAATATTTCAATTTAATTATTGTGCACGTTGTGTCTGCCTTACTTTTTATGAATCTCCTTCCGTAGGCCTACTGGAAGAAATTTCTGATTAGAAATAAGTAGTGCCTGTTGTGTCAGTTATATTTGTATTGTTACTTTAGTGTTTTTATTGTGTACAATAAACTGTTAAATAAATAAAATAAATAATATTTATTCATGAAACTGCTACTGAAGTCAGGCGGAGTTATTATGATATAATAATGAATATTAATTAATGAATTTTTAGTTTCAAAATTTATTATTTACCTTTTGTGCGTCAGGCCCACTCTTATTCTTTTTTTTACATATTACATGTTTCAGAATTAGGTTAAAGAAAATGTAGGTAAAGGAAAAGAAAAAGTTTACGTAAGTAAGAAGTAAAACATTATTTTAAATGCTTTTTAATAGTTATTGTGATACGGGATGCATATCAAAATTTAATTTAAATATAAATAGATTAGGAAGATAATACATTAATTTAAGAATGAATGAGTAATACATTGATGTTTATTTCAAAGAAAATTGAATTTGATAATAACAATATCTTAATTATATAATCACTTATTAGATAAGACTAAGAGATTACCTTCATTCATTACAAGTTACGTTATCGCTCCTTATTCAAGTTTCATTTATCGTAGAAAAAATTTCCGATTATTTAGTTAGGATTGGTACACTCTGATGGATTTCGATTAAAACAAATAATCGTATAATATGTAACGCAAACAAACTCGCCTTCTTTATGTTTTGCGTGTTGGCATTATTGGCGCAGCGGGGGTCCGAAGAGTTTCATTAATTAAAGTGCCCCCGCCCAGTCCGCCGGGAGTCGCGGCGGTACCTCCCTGGATTATTGGGGTTGCTATTGGCTTTTGTTACAGTTTTAACCGACTTCAAAACAAAAACGAGGTTCGCTATTCGTCTGTATGTTTTTATGTATGTTCGACCATAGATTACTATACTATACCGATCCTAAATTAATTTTTAATTTATGAAATATTCTTCTTAAATAGAAATTTCATTAAAATCGGTTCAACAGTTTTGTTTATGTATCGAATAACGAATAAATTAAGGCTCGTCTTAGTAAAAATGTGTAGTTACGCCATCAAAAGGAACGAAAATGTTGTCTTAGTAATTTTAAGTTAGTTTCAATTAAAAAGTTAGGCGATTTCTCAAATTATCTTGCATAATCATTCATTTAAAGCCTACTTATATAATATTCAATGATACCTACTCATCAATGAGTACATGACACGGTCAACATATCAACAACAATCAACGAATTCTAGATAATATTTTTATTACGTTTATTCTAGCTGATTATAGGTACGTGTAATATTCTGTATTAATATTTAACGAATAAAATTTTATTGCGCTTATTATCTAATTTCAAAATCTATATCAATACCTTTCAAAGTTATAAAGATTATGATAGTGATTTATAAAACTAACGATCATACACTATTTTTTTTAATGAAATTTGAATCATGACGAATTAAGAACCTACATAAAATAGTTCATAAAGTATTCACATTCACATTTAGTTTAAGGTTTGACTTGAAAAAAAATTATATAGTTCTAACACACAGGTTTAAGTCAGAGTTAAAAACCATAAAACTCTATTACGGTGGCAATACACAATAGCTTTTGTTCCGCATAAAGTATTGTGGCACCATATCGCGAGTTTACGAGGCAAAGCGGAGTGGCATGCCGTGACGGCTGCCGTGACTGTGACACTACATACCTATTCTAAACTAGCTCTAGTACTAACTACTGCATAACTAAAATAAAAATAACACTAGAATATCAATGAAATTAATTTATATCATTTATGCTCTAGTCTAGGCCGGATTTTATATTACCATATAATTGCAGAGTAAGATATTTTCTTTTTTCATTTAGGGATTTTGAAGACATGTCCATGACATTGTGTGTATGAAAAGATTTGTAAAACTTGTTCTTTTTTAACTGTAAGTAGTATATTATGATGATCTCGGCGTCCCATTGACACTGGCGCCCGGGGCTAGGGGCACTAGCCCCGGGCGCCAGTGTCAACTTGCCCTCCCTTGATCCAGCCCTGATGTTAAAATCCTACCTCTACGCAATACTTTCTAACTGCTCATTTAAATAATATCATTATTTATTCAAGGAACAATCAGTTCTATAAATTAATGAGCTAAATATCTTAACAAAAAAAATTATTTTGAAAATCGGTCAACAATTCGCGGAAAAATATCTTCACCTATTTTACATAAAAAAAAAAAACATAAATCGCCATCAGATATATGACTTCCTTCCTTTTCGATTTTGAAGTCGGTTAGAAATGACCTACAGTTTCCGAACTCAAATATAAAAAGGTTATATTTTTGAAAAACGAAAGTTTCTCGTTCTTTTGCAAATGACAAATAAATAGAATGAGATATACCGACGCTATACGAAGCGTAAATATTTTGAACATTTAGAGAGTAGAATAAAAGGAGTATCACTTTAATAAAAATGGTATTAGTGTTCATCATTTATAAATATATGAATAGTTCACACAATGAACTATATAAAGTATAGATTTTACCGATTTCAATAGAAATCAAAAGAATTACAAATGTACGGACATTGTAGCTAAGCGGACAAAGAATCCGGAGGTCACTCTTATAATGCAAGGACATTTCATTATTCTAATTGTTCTTTAATGGTAACCATCCACAGGACAATGTTGACCTGAATTCTAATGTAATTCGATTTTTTATTAATAAAAATAAGTATTGAAATAGCTATACTAAAAATAATCTTTGACATAGTAGTTGGAAAATATCAAATTACAAACACAAATAAACTGAAAATATATATTCAAAAGTCTAGATAATAATTTTGTAATAAATAAAAAACCTAATTTCAGGCTAAACTTTTACAAGCTGTTGTGAAAGTCGATGATGAAAAACTTCTCCGTATAAACCTATAACTAACTTATTATAGAAAAACCGTGTACCTCTTAAAAAGTTGTCTAATACATATGAAATGAACTAAAAGTTTTTGATATGACTTTATTAAAAAAACAATCTAATTATACCTACTTAAAAATGTATAGGTATACGTCTTGCCTACAGCTACTAACACAATCAATTATGCAAAACTTATGTAGAAATATTAAATCTTGTCACAATTCTTTATGGAGCTGCGTACCAAATTAATTTATGTGTAATTGTGCATGTGTAGTAACCAGTGATTGTTTTATCTACTAAGTGTACATACATTATACACAACTATTTTTATATAATTTTGTTATACATAATAGACGTGTACGCCGCGCCGCGTCGATGACTGACGCCGCCGATCATGACACGCCGCCGCTGACCGGTTAGAAAGATCGGCGTAAACGGCGCGGGATGGCACGAACTGCGAGTAACATTCGTTCGCTCGGTTGCTAAGCAACGTAGTGCTTTCTCTGCGGCATATGTTAATTCCGTTCCGTATTCCATATCTAGTAAAATTTTAATGAATACAAAAGTAAAGTCAATGATGCAAACAAATAAAAAATCGAATCTCTCTTCTTTAATTACAGCTGTCAACAAAATTGTACAATTAATGTAGCACTCGTCTATAAGATGGAGTTGGCAGAAATCATAAATTCAACACTTACCCTTAATGTCTACTCTAGCTAACCCATCTCTGTAGCTGGTTTTGCTAAAACGGTTAAACGATTGCATCTAACTGGGAATAATATCAATAAAATAATTTCTATGCATGATAACTGTTACATTGGGGAAAAAGTCTTTTCGCATATAGTATGCATAAAGTTGTAATAAAATCTTTCAGGCTACCATTTCTATGCGGCTGGTTTCGGTATCATTAAAAAGTTTAAATTTTAAAGAAGACTTCGAATTCAAATTAAGAAATTGTGTAATTTCCAATTGTTTTTACTTACTGTCAAAATGAGTAAATCTAATGAAGAACTTAGCATTTTAAATTTTTATTATTAAAAGGTAAAAATGTAACGTAAGCCGCGAAAAAGATTTTTGACGTTTATGAACCTAGTGCAGTTTCTGTGAGAGTAGCACAAATTTGGTTTAAGCGTGTTCAGCCCGGGAATTTTGATGTTAAAGGTATACTTCGCTCCAGTCACTCTGTTACGAATAAAATGGATGCCATTTTTGAGAAACTGAAGCAAGATCGGCATCGGTAGTTACGACGAAGCTGAGCTCACTGAAAAAAAAACCTAATGAACCGTGTACTGTTTTGTGATTCTTTGTTGCGGTGTAATGAAAACGAATCATTTTTGAAGAAGCTGATAACTGGTGATGAAAACTGGATCACGTAAGACAAGTACATGCGATAAAAATCGTAGTCAAAGGATGATCAGACTTTACAGACTGGCGAAACCCGGGTTAACTGGCAAAAAGGTGATGCTGTTTATATGGTGGGAATAGAAGGGCATTATTCATTATGAGCTGTTACCGCCAGGCAGGATTATCGATTCTGAACTTTACTGTGAACAACTGATGAGATTAAAGCAAGAAGTTGAGAGAAAGCTGCCAGAATTAATCAATAGAAGGAAGGTGGTTTTTCATTAAATGAAGAGAGTTTGGCTGGGAAGTGTTAATGCATCCGCCGTATAGTCCTGACCTTGCATCTTCAGATTTCTACCTGTAAGTTATCGAAAAAATAGCACCTACATACTTTAGTTAAATGTAAGTAAACTTTATTAAAAATGTTTAGAATTATATTCTTAATGAAAAATGCTTAAAAATCCAGTTTGTCCCCGGCATTCTCAGATGGGACTTAAACCCATGAACTTGGACCCATGGATTGCTAAAAATATTTTTTAATATCATTATGACTCCGTTACATAATGTAGAAGAGTATACTTGTGCCATTTTTGAATGTTACTTAAAAGGTGTTATTAGTTTTAGTAGCTCTTATATTTGTTATGCCAATAAAGGCATTCTGAATTGTTTAACTTTTTATTTTCCATTATTTAACATAACGACGCCGTTTACGCCGCCATTTACGCCGCCGCCACTGATTTTTTAGCTCCACGCCGCCGCCGAAGATTTCGGCATCGGCGCACATGCCTAATACATAACAATAGTATTTATTATAACAATAATAAATACAATTTTCAAAGTATGTAGGACATAGGTTGGTACATATAATTAGTCGTTATAGAACGAAACGAAGGCTATTAATTCCCTGCATTGTGGTCTTTAAAATAATCATCAACTTTATATGATAAGTATGTTCCTTACATGAATTTTAAATTTATTTATCGGTAGATCAATTACATTTTGTGGAACTTTATTGAACATAGCAATGCATTAACCCAGAAATGATAATCTGGTTTTTTGAGATCTGACGCTTAGAAAGGCAAGTTTATTTTCAATTGTTGTGTTAAGATTATGAACACTACTTTTTCTTTGTGAGGGAATCGTAATATTTTCTTGCGTACATAATATTTTCATAGATGTATTGAGAGGCAAAAGTCAAAAGAATTATTTCTTTAAATTAAAGATTCCCTCGACCGTAAATATATATATAACGCGGACAGTTGTATTTTGCAGAATAAAAATATCTTGAATGCTGGCCGCAGAACCCTACATCAATGGGCCATACGTCATTATACAATGAAAACAACTAAAATATACCAATCTTGCCGTTTCAACATTTGTCAAGAGTCTAATTTTCTTAACAACAAAAGCTGCAGAACTCAGTCTACTTGACAAGTTATCAATATGAGGATCCCATTGCAGTCAGAAATCTAGTGTTTTTTTTTTTCACTATTTATACTTTTTCACTATTTATATTTATAAGTTATTAACATGCCTCACATTAGGTAATGGAAACTTTATGCATTTCGTTTTATTTAAATTGAGATTTTAATTATTATTATCAAACCACTGTGGAACATAATTTACATCGTCAAAACAATCATTACCTCTCTTAACTTTAAACTTTAAAGGGGTGTCATCTGCAAATAATACTGTCTTGCACAAATTCTTAATTAATGTAACTTAGAAAAAGCAATGGTCCTAACACCGATCCCTGAGGTACCCCATAGTAATGGTTGCTCCTGCAGATTTCGCTTCAATAATTTCTACTATTTAAATTCTTACAGAAAGATATGATTTTATTAGATTAAGTGAATTTTCCAACACACTATAATGCTCTAAATTCTCCAACAGTGTTTCATGACTAACGCAGTTGAATGCTTTTTACAGATCGCAAAAATGCCGATAGCATCTTGTTTACTTTCCCAAGCATCATACATATGTCTTCAAAGTGCAATTCCAGGTCTGTAAATAATTTTCTCAAATACTTTACGTAGCGCTGGTAGTATATTGGTCTGAAATTACAGGGATTTGAGTTATCACCTGCCTTGAAAAGTAGGATAATTTTACCACATTTCATTAAATCAGGAAAATGTTCCTTCATCAATGCACTTATTAAAAATAAAAGTTAATTGAAGCGCAATAGATGGTATTATAGATTTGATAACATAAATTGAAACGCTCCAAAGATGTTTTAATAATTGAGTTGTCGTTAACATGTCTAAATAAAATACAGTATTGCACTTATTAACAACTAACTCTAGATAAGTAACCGCAAGTCTAGAACACGAACTAAGATTTCTAGTATTTCTCAAATGTATCGGCGACCGTTTCATCTATTTTAATAACCTTATCGTCAATCTCTAATAAGTATGTGCGCATATTAAATTTATTTTTCTATGTTGAGAATTATGACTTAAGCAAAAATACGTTCAAACAATAAATTCCGGTCTATTACTTTGAATTTCTTCAGTATTTTTGTTTAATATTATCGGTCATAAAAAATTTAATCTATGTTTACGTCTTGTTAAGTCAGTGACCGTTTCAAAATCATTTGTGTTAACTCGGTTTCCATAAACTTGATGTATGCAAAATTGATTCGAATGTGTCGGATTATTCATTTTTTACGGTCAAAAGAACGAATTTTTTTACATCGAGCATATCGAATAATTATGCGATAAGATACGAATTTTAAACTACATTAAATCTCTCAAATTTTTTTTTTCAATAAATAAAAACGACTTCTTACTTTTAACCAGTGATAGAATAATATAAATTGCTGTTAATATTAAATCAATGAAAACCACTAATTTTGTTTTTTGCTCAACATATTTTTTCCCTATAATCTACATATACTCATATTATAAGAAAGTTTTTTCATCTCAAAAAAGCTACATGATATGTGGTGTGGCTCACATAGGTTATAATTTTACAAAGTCGCGAAGAAACGGCTAGTTTGATAGAAATCGGTTCACAATTCATAAAAATAGTTGAACATACCTCTTTATATAAAAATCTACATACCCTTCGAACTAGAATATAGGAGGCCTTAAGGATCTTGTAATTTTCTTTTGCAAAATACGCAAAATATTTTTTTTTATTTGGTTGATATAAACATGTCATCAAAATTTTTTGATGATATCTGATGATAAGCCTGTATTTTAATTTAACTCATGCTGATTCGATTCCAATAAAATTGAAATAGAACCATCTCGTGCCATTAAGCTTTGAAACAAAAAAATAATTTTGATCATATCGAACATAACATATAGTTTGTAAACAAAATAGAGCTATTAGAAATATTAGGCATTAAGAGATCCTACTAATATTATATTACAAAATGCAAAGTTTGTGATATATGTTATCTGTCACGCAAAATCTACTGATCGAATTTTCATGAAATTTTTTGTATGGATAATTTTCAGCCCAGCATCATTGATATGGGTTACTTTCTATCCCACAATATGGTTTCATGGGGATAAAGTGTCAGCCACGAGTGTAAAGCCATTGGCTAAAAGCTAGTTTTATTATTATATTTGAACAAAATATATATGATTAAGAGATAAGTGTATTTTTACTATTAGGAAACCTACATAATATTTTCTTTCTATGGGTTTTTATAAATCAGAATATAAATTAATACGATAGAAAAAATCACAACGTTGCATTTAAAATTCTCAATTTTTCAATAATGATGTGAATAATGATGATGGTAATGATATGATTTACAGGAACAAATCGGTAAATAAAATAAAAAAGTAATACTGACTTCAAAAACATTAAAAATAATACTGTGAACCGTTTTGAAGAAAATTCTACCGAAGTCAAGCGAAAATTGTGCAAACCGCCCCAGATTTTGACAGAATTGCGTTTGAAATGAGTACCTATTATCTTTCATATTTCAACATTTTTGTTATTTTTATTACTTTTCATTTTGCTAATATTATAAAAGCGAAAATTTGTAAGTTTGAGTGTTTGTTAGTTTTTCACGCAAAAACTACTGAACGGATTTTGACAAAATTTGGTGTACGGAATTTTTGTGTACGGAAATACGGACGGTGTACGGAAAATTCTAAGCCTGGACTAATAATATAAAGGCTACTATTTTTCCCACTCAAAAGTTTTCACATGGGCGAATCCGTTGAAGAAAAATATAAAATGAGATGTTAACAAAATTCATAGGAAATATCGTAAATACACGATCTTTTGTTTTCATTGATGATATAAATATGTTTTAAGTATTTTTGTTATGAGGCAGACCGCTTCCCATTTTATTACTTTAAAATGAATACTGCTAATGATCTTGATAACTTGAGGCGTATAGAACAAGCTCTCGGATAAAAATAAAGATACCCTTCGATTAAAGAAATACCTTCTTTTTGACTTTATAATGTCATAAAAATATGTCGAGCCCCGATCTTCACAGTTACCATTATACGTAAGCTTCATTTTCTTATTTGACTCACCAATTGCTAAATAGATATCAATATTTTGTCAGTTTAGAGTAGACGGTATATTTTAAATTGCAGATAAGTTTTAGAAAGAAAAAGATATATTTTAAGAACACTAGATAAAAGTGACATAAAATACATCCAAAGACAAAGCTGTTGTCAACAAGTGTGATTTAAATAGTTATTTACTAAACTCACCTATTTTGGAACCAAACTTGCACCACTCTCATGTCTAGTCCTGTATCATGAGCTAATTGTTCTCGGACGTGTCTTGCTGGCTTCGGGCTACTGCTATATGCACTCTTCAGTGTTTCCAACTGCTTCGCTGTGATGGTGGTACGAGGCCGTTTGCTCGCTGCGTCGCCATCCAACGAACCGTCACCGCCTGGTGTGGAATCCAGTTCTGTGTTAGAACTTCACTCTTTTAATCGTAAACATTTATGTATCTATATAGCATTTGTTACTTTAGATAAAAAAGAGTGATTATATTCCCAATTTTGAAAATTAACATGACATCTCAACGCCTATTCCATTTTTCCGAAAAACGAAATTTTGTCTAGTGAAAGTCCAGTCAAGTTAAAATCAAAATAGTCTTTACTCAAAAAGACTTCTTAAAAGTACCTTTGAATCGTCTAACATTTCTTTGGATTGATAATGAGATTTCACACAAACCCATAGAACGAGGGTAGGATAATCTTCACAGTTATGATTTAAAAATAGTTATAATAACGATTCGAAATTTTCCGAGTTTTCGTTAGAGCACAAATACTCCTTCGGGTGTCAATTTAAAGGACCAGAAAATTGTTGATCACTAAACAAATATCAAGTAGCGAAATCATCAATATTTAAGGATATAAGTCTAATATTGATGATAATAGATTAAACAATTAATAAATACGATATAAAAGGTTTATTAGCTCACCTTTCGCTCTAGCAGCTTCGTAATCTGGTTTGCAAACAAGTTTTCCGTCTTCCATGAGGTAAAATTCGTCGCCGGTGTTGAGTGTTCTCGCACATGCAGCGCAGGCAAAACATCGAAGATGGTAAACGTGTGACTGAGCTCGGCGTACCACCTGAGTCGGAGGTATGCCCTGCCCGCAGCCCGCGCATTTGGTGCCGAAACGCCTGGGACAACAGCCGCAACAACAACAACATTATCAACGTGTTTTGGGTAGTTTTATGGCAGTGATAAGCGCGCTCATTTATTAGATGGAAGATCAAATTGCCTTCATTAGGCTATTGGTTCCGGTTGCATATTTTGAATACATTTACACTATGGACTTTCTTTCTAAATATCGCTAATTTATTTGCACTTGACATTAGAGCAAAAGCAGACACAGCTGCCATTGTATGAAAAAACTATATGTATGATATACTATGGTATGAAAAAAAAGGCTCATGATTTAAATGGTAATGATTAGATTTTGATAGTTTTTTACATTGTTAAAATCTTACTTGAAAAAGTCATCGGTACAATACAGCTGATTGTTCCTGGCAAAGCATTTCCCGGAGAGCATGGCACGACACTCGACGCAGCGCAAGCAACCCGCGTGCCACGTTCGATCAGACACCTTCAGCACGTACCGGTCCACTATCATCTCGTGACATCCCCCGCACTTCGGGATACTGGCTGCAACATATCCATATATGTGTTACTTTTGCCTTAATAGGAGTTCGGATACCTTGAAGGATTATGGTGATCGTATACTAGCCAGTATCAGCCGAAATACACGTATGCATGCAACGGATTTCTTTAGCTTTTTAAACAATAGTTGGTACAGCACAAAAATTGATACTGCCGTACTGGGTCGCGCCGACCACCGGTATTTATGAGTAAAAATGTGTCACGTGCCATTAACGTCACACTAATTAGTTCGCAACTTCGATGCAGCATCTCATGATTTGAAATATAAGACAATTTTTAAACCTATGACGGGACTTAGGGTTGTATTAAGTAACGTCATCATGATAATTGTTGGTATATTAATGTACCCACTGCTGAGGTACAAGCCTTCCCTTTGGATGAAATGGACTCGAATCAAATAGGGAGAACGGGTTATAGCCTACCACGCGAACTCAGTCGGAGCCAACGGCTTAACGTGACTTTCAACTAACGGAGAAACTCGAGTTAGAAAATTTTTGGTCACTGGATCATTAAGCTCCTAGATATGGGGTATGTCGCGTGTTGTTGTTTTTTTTAACTTCAATTTAACAAGAAATGGCTTAGATAATGGCTTTGTTAAGTTGAAAAGTGGGAGCTCGCTACGTCACAACTATGGAAATAAATAAATAGAATTTCAAAAAATATTTTTAGACTATCTTCAATACATTGATGCAATAAAGTTATGATTTTCTTCTTGTTTATCCCATTGAGTGATCTATCGTTGGATAGGTTCTTCAAAGAACTTTTTCTAAAAATAGATTCGTCTTCAAACTGTTCTTGAATATGTCGCTTTTGAGATAAATATAATTAATCACATTTTATAGTTTGGAATCGGTTATATTTTTTGAAAAAGGTTTTTTTTTTCATGCTTTTTATTGATATTTATATTTTTAATTTTTTGTTTATTTGCTAGACATAATAATTTTTTTCTAATAATCTTTATTCATATTATTAAGAAGAAAGATTTATCTGCTTGTTTGCTTGCATTGAATAGGGTCCGAAATTATTAGACCGATATATCTTTTATCTACGGGAGGTAACATAACACGCGGGGGACGTAGGTTATAATTTACGCAGGCGAATTCGCGGAGAAATAGTTTGATAGAAATTCGTTCACAATTCGAAATCGAAGAACGTACCTATTTTTATTAAAAATATACATAGTTACTCCTTTAATATAGAAAATCCGCCTTTCGTAAATAAACATATCATCTATTTAGGTGATAACTGATGAAAAACTTATTTTGTTTTGTTATAAAAGCAAAACCACAGATAAGTTTATGATAAAATTTAAATAGGACCAGTGCAGTCCATAAAGTTATCGAATAAAAAATAATTATGAAAATAGGTCAACAATTGTCGGAAATATCGGTGAATATACAATATACATCAACGTCGAACATATAACCTCGTCCTTTTCGATTTTGACGTAAGATAAAAATTTGTAAATATATGAAAACTTTACGATTAAACTTTTATGAAATGTTTTACATAATTACCTTGTCATTATAAATATATTGCAATAGTTTTACATTTTTCACAAGCATCTGAGTAATATCTAACGTACGAGTATATTCTATTTAGGACCCGATTAAGTAATTTGCCTAAATAAGATGATTATGATAACGTAAGTAATAAGTCAATAAAACTATTTTGGACTTTGTAAATGTTTGAAATTTATATTATTTATGATTTATCCGTAATACTTCAATAATATTTTTGTATGAACTTATTATTTTCTAGCTTTCGCCAGTGGCTTCGCCCGATTGGTCCCTAAGGAAATATTTAGTGAGATAAAAATTCCCTATTTGTATACCAAATTTCATCAAAATCTGTGCAGTCGTTTCGGTGTGATTGACGGACAAACATCCAAAATAAAGAAACTTTCACATTTATAATATTAGGTCCTTACATATAAAATTGACATTTTGTCGTACTGGCCACTTTAATCACAAATTTCTCTTCCTTGGTTGGAAATTCCAAATTCAAATTAAAAAGCCATTTAAACATGTATTTGTATTGAGTTGTTTTTTTTTCTTCAGTTTGTCCTATTTACGTCACCCAGTATAAAAAATGGGAAACTTGAAATATCGTATTATTTACGAGTACAAGTTCCACTGTGGTACCAGTGCTGCAGAAACGGCTCAAAGGGTTAATGATGTGTATGGCGGTATGGCGGCAAAAGAAAACACAGTGCGTTTTTGGTTCCCGTTCTGTAAATTTCGACCTGCAGAACAAGCCCCAGTTATAAGTTAATAATGAAGAATTGAAGGCTATTGTGGAAGCGGATCCATCGCAAACCACGTCCAAGTTAGCTGCAGGCTGCGGTGTTAGTGATAACTGTTTTAATCCACTTGAAGCAAATTGGAAAGATTAAAAAGCTTGAAAGGTGGGTACCTCATGAATTGAGTGAAGCAAACCGGCAAACGCGTTTCGACTGTTGTGTTACATTACTGAACCGGCACAATAATGAAGGGTTTTTAAATAAAATCATTACTGTGATGAAAAGTGGATTCTCTACGATAAATGGAAGCGCTTATCGCAATGGTTGGACCCTGGCATGCCAGCCAAATCCTGCCCCAAGCGAAAATTGACCCCAAAAAAGTTACTTGTAAGAAAGACATCCACCGTACTCCCCGGACCTTGTTCAAACAGATTACCATTTTTTTCGAAATTTGGATAACTTCTTGCAAGGGAAAACATTCAACTCGGATGGGGCAGTGCAAATCGCCTTCAAAGATTTTATTGATTCCCGTCCGAATGTTTTTTTTAGTAAGGGGATCAATAAACTACCTATGAGATGGCAAAAGTATTTTGATTAAATAAATATATTATATTAAAAAATATTCGACTTTTTGTTCCTCCCATACCAAACACTAATTTCATATGTAAGGACCTAATATTAATAGGATATGTCATATCTACTAATAGAGATCGATTGATTTTATAATGCGCAGAAAAATAACACGTAGTTATTATTTATAGATTCGTAGCTGATATGTTGAGGGTTCTATTGCATATTGTTATAGGGTATTAGTATGTTCTTAATTAAATTTTAACTATTATTAAAATGACGAGTTCTTAAAATATATATATATTCAATGATGGAAAAGTTCTGTGATTACCTTAATTAGCATTTCGAACCACAAGCTTAACGTAGCAATTCTGTTGTTCAAATTAGACTAAATTTAGGTTACGCTTTATCAAGCTGATAACTTTATCAAGAAAATAACTAAAAAAAGTAAATTTCATGAAAAATGCTTAAAAAACCCCACTTTGTCTCTGACACTCTGAGATGGGACTCGAACCCATGTTCTTTTGCAATCCGGGCGACTGCTGTAAAAACTGAGCTACGCAGGACCTAATAGTACTGACGAATTTTTCAAGCACTTGTTACTTTACTTTTTCGCTACTTCAGAGTGTATTTTCATCATGTTCAGGCAAGCCACTCAAACAGTCGAAAGAAATATTTTTCATTAAGAATATTTTCCAGAATAGCATTGTGAATCCGAATTGATCAAACATAATAAAGTAAAATTTTGTTTTTTGATCATGACTAAGGAAAAACGTAAAAAAAACACAAATTAATAACAAATTATGTTGTTTACGTTGTTTGATGATAATATTAGAAATCATTATGTTTCTTAACTATACGTGTTTTAGGTAGTACCGAAAAAATATTTGGGCTGTTAATTTGAAAAGTTATCATGCACCTTATTTTTATGTACCTATATCTTAATCTAAGTGATTTAAGATATGATTATTAGATATTATTTTCTATCTTTTAGGTTTTCTATTAATTTTAAATCGTTATTTATTGTCTGTAAGTGTCCTATATATGAGTGCCAAATAAATGAATTTGATTTGATATGACAATTTTATAGTTACCTATAGATGTTTCAAACGACAGTTAAAATTCAAATGAAATGTCGGAACTTTTCAATATATTTTTTAATAGTTACAAAAGTTAATAAGTAATAATTACCCTTATTACTTATTATTTTAATATGTGAATCAGCTGCTAAAAGATCTTGCGCAAGTTTTATTACTTATTTGAGTGATTAAGATTCATTAATTGGATAAGGATACCTACTGATGTTTGAGGCATGATCTTTGTGCCTCAATTGATAACAGAGGATTTGGTTTGCAAATACTCTTGTCAACTATTATTAGGCAAGACATGCCCCGGCATATCATCGAATCAATAAAGTAATAGGTAAATTTTGTAATTTATTTTCCGACTAAAAAGATCATTTCTATCATTTTTATCATTCAAAATATATCGAAAGCATTATAAAATATTGTGTTATTTTGTGGTGATTATATAAAAATACTCAAGTTAGTCACTATTATATTTATTGAAATTAAAACTGTCTCTACTGTTTGGGTCCAATTATATATTCTCTATTTGAACATAATAAAACCCAGTTTTGATATAAGTTATAAATATCTCAAACTCGACATTGAGCTTAGCACTGTCAAAGCAGGGAGGTTGAATGAAATAAAATCTTTATTACCTTTTAAAGTAGGTTTTATTTGATTGAACCTGTATGCTGTGACAGCGTTGTTCTCGAAATCGAGTTTGACATGTAATTTTTTTACAAAATAGCACTTGCTGATTATTGAAAACAAAATAGTAATTGTAATGATTTTGGCTACGACTTCACAACCAATACTATTTACTTAACAATCTTATAATATCACTTTATTAATAGCTTTAAACTAGCACAAAGACGCGGTTAACTATCACATATTCCAAAAGCACACATCTACAACACCGCACCGTGTACCACAGTTTACGTACATAAGAACACTTCTGGAAGATGTTCCAACTGGATGGGTGGTACGCGCATGTCATCCAGCTCCGCGTCTTCCGCGCCCGGATACATCATGGTTCCGAGCATTGTGGCGGCTGTACCGAACCGTTCCGCACAACACACTGACGCCAGAATAAAACGCAACCCCAACCCCTTATCAGGAGTCCGCTCTCATTGGTCGGTCGACAGTTTGATAACGACCAACACGCCCATCGGCCAATCCTAGCGGGCGACACCCATTGATCGATCGCCCGCGAATTTTCCCATTTCCAAGCGTCTGTACTTGTATTTAACGATGCTGCGACGTTTTTTGTGAGACTGCTCTTTTTTCACTTCATATAAATGGGTATTCACGGGTTGCTTACCTATTTCATATTTTGCAAATTTTTATTATTGCAATGTAAGTTACAATTTTGTACGAGTGTTTGTAGTGCTTTTAATAAATGTTTTGTAAACAACAACTGTTAACTAAAATATGTTGGCATGCATGGATCTTTTCTTAGGGTGTCCTCGTAAATAACCAAACTACGTTTAAGTTACATGACGTCACCCGTAGCGTCTTCGTAGCGACTATAGACTCACCTAGAAATCGCCATGTTTGGTTTTCGCCATGTTTTAATACGAGGCCTTTATATTGCACATTTAGTTGTTAAGTTGTTTAGTTTAAGAGGAGGATTACGCGTAAAATTTGAAGAACAGAAATCTTGATTGAATATCGCATTATATACATTGAGGTTACTTACTCTATGTATCACTATGGTTTTGTTTCGCTGAATATAACTAAATATAGCATTGTTGTAACATTTTACATAAATAGTTGTTTCACTTACTTTACAATAAAATAATGTTATAATTTTTTTTTATTACCGTTTTTTTAAGTTATTGCACAAATTTTGTACCCTTAAAAATATATTTGTTTCATTAACTATGCAAATGAATACATATACTTATACTAATTCTTACGCATACAGTTACTCCACTTCACTTTTCGAAACTTCTAACATAACAATAGAATAATCAATGAAACCTAAAAACACAAGAGAATGGAAATAGGATAACACATATTTTTTTTTATTTATGAAATCTTTACCCCTTATGCACTAATAAATTATTCTAGTACAAATTTTGTTCAAGAATATTGTCATAGATTGTCGTAACTGATCTGTAATCACTCCTTTTTTTTATTATATGATAATTATAGAATCAAAGACTCCTTGCTTCGTCATCGTACTTTATCTAATCTTATTTTCTTAACGCTTTATTGTTAACACCGAATACAAAACATACATAGGACAAAAAACTCATTATTGTCATGTTCTTGATATCTCTATATTTTCCATACTTAATGTTTTACTTCTTCATTGTTTCATTTCCATGGCGGTAAATGATAAAACCCCTTAAAATTGGATTATATAAACCTAGACGAAATTTCCTCCGATGTTTTTGTCCACTTAAACTATTGTAAACTCTTAACGTAACATAAGGGACAAGAACTTTCTTTGGTTTCCATATTGCTAATTTACAAAAAGCGACCTACTATCTATACCAATAGTTATTTTGCACTATACAATAATTTAAAATAATGAATTATATATTTGTATCGGAGATCAAGAAAGCCAAAATTTACCATTCTAGGCACGAATCACAGTCAATCACAAATGTAATATGACTCTTAAAATCCATACCTTATTTATAGTCTCTGAATTTGCAAACAAATAAAAACAACCACATTTCTAATGAAAGCAGTTGTAAATCATTGAAAATTCGACCTGGGCCGTTTTCAATCGTAAGTTCTGGTTGGTCGTAGAAATCTGTATCATAAATTATACAAGCGACTTCAGGGGCACCAAAGCGAGGCGCGCAACTTTACGGCGGCTGCTTAAATCAAGCCTTCGCTTCTTACTCCCCTGCGACTAGCCAGGTATCTCAAACTATGTTTCTTACTCCAACTGACACTGCTGTGCAATATTTATGTATACTATAATATAAAAAGTAAGAGGTTCTCAATTCGACTGTATGTTTTTTTGTGTGTTTGTAACGCAATTACTCCATCAATTTTGAGTCGATTTTCAAATTCTTATTCGACTCAAAAATTATAAGATTCATAAATCTTAGTTTTATTGGACAGCTTAATGGGCCGAGGTAGTCCTATTTAAATTTTATCGAAATCGAATCAGTGCTTTTCTTTTTATAGCAAAATAAATTATGCTTTTCATCACATATCACCTAAATATTTTGATATCATGTTTATATCAGCGAAAAAACAAAAGACGCTATCTTTTGTTTTTTAGACATTTATATGTTCAACGGATATGTATACTTTTATGCAAGTAGGTATATTCACCGATTTATTCGTGGTTACGTCGTGCAATTAAATACAAATTTCAGGACTTTCCTTATGTAAATATAATATATTTTTATAGATATTTAATATTTTAGTGATACCTATACAAAATATTTATATATAGTACCTTTATAAGTATCCCTAAATAATGAAATAAAATATATTTTTTTAATAGAACCAACTTCACACTTAAAAAAAATACTTTTATTTAAGCGGTTAAATTTTTCAAAAATCTTTATAGTCGGGCGTTTATCATTTAACAAACAACAGATAACCTCAGCCCGAATTCAATGTTTCTAGACAAATTTAACGGCTCCTAAAATCAGTATTCTTTTGTTTACTTTTTTATAAAGAGGAAAACTTTTATTGTTTGTTTGTTCTCATTGATTAGGCTCCAAACTACTGGAGCTAATTTTGAAAGTCTTTCATCCACGGGAGTTACATCATATGCGGGTGACATGCTATAATTTACAAGGGTGAAGTCGCGGTAAAACAGGTAGTATATGAAGAATTGGCAAAATCGAACATAAGCTTTTATTAAAAGCTATTTATCTGATCTTCTTTATGATTGTTTGAAATTCAGAACACAAAAGCAGGAAAGGCATTGTCGTTAATTTTTTATTAATTTAAAATACATATTACTTATTATTCTCCAAAATTTTTCTCTATATAAGCTTTAATTTGCCAAATTTCAAACTCTTCTGTCCGTTTATTGATATAATGATATGTAAATGTTTATTTTTCTTTTCGTTTGTTAGATACTAGTTAAATAACTGGATGTAGAATTTGCCAGATATCATAGTTACACAGTCATAGAAATAGATTTTCACAACATAATGTCTGATTCTATTAAGCACTGTATAGAAATAATTTAAATAAAGAATATTTACACAATATTAGTACATACCTATTCAATACCTTAAAATTTTTCTATTTTCAATTCAATGTTCATCGAAGTTAATCCTCTTGACGGTAAACTAAATTCCCTGCCTTAAAATGATTTTTTTTAAATTTCGAGCACGACAGTTATTTTGTTTCATAAATTGGTAGGGGCGGTCGCGTGCACTCTCCCGGGGGTATCGGCGCGTGCGCCCGTCCCACAGTAATTGAGGTACGCCGTACTGCATTAGTAGAGCTTCGTAAATCTGCTGATCGAGTGCGAGACCAACTCGCTTGGAAACAATTGTGGAAGAAAGGCGAATATGCACGGAGGCTAATTGCTCCGAACATAAGTATCTTGGTCAATTTATAACAACATGTGTTCCATTTGTTTCCAAATCCAAAACCATCTTTAGGGAGAATGTTTTGTTGTTTTATATTTAAATGGTTGTAAAGATTATTACGTCTAGCGGATGGCACCAAAAGAGGAAGAAAAAGAATTACAATCATAATTAAACGGAAAATACAATTTCATTGATTAGATTAGGTACCTAAAATAATTAATTATGACATTTTGATCAAATCTCATCTGTCTCAACTTCTCTGTCTAATCGGTTTCTCATTCATGAAGATCCTGGTCATGGAATACGTAGGACAGCATAGTCTCTCTCCACTTGTCCCGATTCAAATCTCGGTACCTCGAGAACAGATAGACAGAATAGAAATCATATCAATTTTAACTATTTACTGGTAAAAAAAAATTAGAAGCGAACAATTAAACTCATCAGCCAATTTTGTGTCAATATATTTTTTTTTTAATTTAATTTATTGCGTTAAGTAGATCGCAATAAAAACTATTATGCATTTTTAATTTCTTCTCAGTTAAACAAAATATTCTCGATGTTATCACTCTCCCACCCATTAGGACTGAGTAAAAATTAAGGCGTTACGGAGAAGTCTTTAGTTTCGGAATTTTATATGTCTTTATCGCTTATTATATTTATTGTCATCTCTTCTATCGTGTGTTGTGTTCAAAGTATTTTTAAAACATACTTATATTTTTCTTGTTAAATTATCTTTTATTACATAAACTTATCCACGATCTTGCTACGCAAGTGTAGCCGGGATTAACGGCTTAGTGTGCCTCACGAAGCACAAAGAAGCAGGGATAATAAGTTTTTGGCAACCCATCATATGCCCGGCCCTTCCGAAAGTTGCATTTGGAGAACGTGTACCAACCATCTAATAATGGCAATGTGTTAGAAACTGAACTTTCTGTTGCTACAATTACCGAACGTAAGTAGCACAAAGGCACATTATGAAAAGTTTACAGTTGTCAACGAAAGTTGCCACAACTCGCGTTTAGCTGGTAATAATAGGGTTAAGATTCAATACAAATTGTACATTTTTTTAAAAATGGTAAAAAACAATGTTATTTCATTATAGTTATATTTATTTTTTCACTTGGTGTAAATTTTTTTAATTTGAGATTTTGATCATTGAGTAGAGCATCTGATTCCCAAATAAAGTTGCCTGGTGCCCAAATAAAGAATAAAATTTTCCTAAATAGGGAATTCCCAAAAGAAACGGCCGAATATAAAGTCTGTAAATCCCCTGTCAAAGCGTAGAGTCACGTCCTTTTGCCGATCCTTGTTACTCATGGGTTGAAATAACCCTAGTGATTCGGTGTCACGAAACAGAATATTATGATAGGTTATAAAACTAATTCAATGAAATGACCTAGCCAACTTTTTGATGGTAAAAATGAGTGCTATGGAGGTCTTTTAGAACGCTTTCACAGAGGTATAATTTCTATAACTTGTAAACCGATTTCAAAATCGACAACGAGGAGGTTAAAACACAC